TTGATGGTAACAAATCTTTGTTTGTCCTGCTTTTTGCACCTTAAATGGAGGAGAAAAGGGCAGATTCATCCTTTATTGTTTTCAGAACTTGCACTTGATTGATCTCTCTCATGTAAACGTGATATTTTGTGTGTTTAAAAACACTGATTTTTTTTTTCTCTTCCTTTAGAAAGAGGGAGGAGGAAAAGAAGAGGGAAGTTTTGAATAATCCTGTGAAAATGAAGAAAATCAAAGCTTTGGTAGGTGCTTCTCAGGGTTCCTTTGCACAGAACACACTGACCCAGGGGGAGGCTCAGAAATCAGAAGTTTTGCTGTTTAGCTGAGCTCTTTCCTGACCTAAACTCTTTAATTTTGAGATAAGACCTTGTTGGGTGGCTCGGATTTTGTTCCAGGAGCTTTTCCACAGAAAAGCTGATTTTTCCCTTGTGATTCTGAGCCCCCAGGGGTGGGGATGGTGATAATGAGTGACAAGGAAATGGGGTTTTGCTCTGCAGCTGCAGAACAGTTTGGATAAAAAGGAGAAGAAGAAGAAGAAAGAGAAGAAGAAGAAGCACAAGAAGCACCGACGGCGCAGCTCCAGCAGCGACAGCTCCAGCAGTGAGGAGGAGAGAAGCAAAAATAAGTAAGTTTTGAGGTTTTGTGGCAAAAATACCTCATTTCCTCATTAAATTATTTGGTTTTCAAATCCTCTCTTTGAGTCTTTAATTGGCTTCGATGTTCCTGTGTTGTTACTTTGTTGTTTTTGCATCATTAACGTGCCATAATAATAATTTCATGTTAAAAAAATACCATATTCTTGCAGTTCACCTGCACCAAAAGGACTGTTCTGTTTTCTCTGTAGGTCTCAGAAGAGGATGGACAATTCCTCCTGGAAACCTGCTCCTTACAAAGTCCCAGGATATGGTTTGCAGGTACGTGTGTATCCCAATCCCAGTGCCCTGAGTGAGGGAAAACCAAAGAGTTTTGGGAGTTTGCTGCAAATCTGCTGCACCAAGTGGAAGAGGATTATGAGGGGAACACGATTTAATAAATTTTAGATTCAATTTGCAGCCATCTAAGCCTTGAAATTAAAATTATTCAAATCCTGGTGGGACTTTTGTCTGCTGAGAATTCGAGTTAAGGTTTGTTTAGTTTCTCAGAGTGTTACCCATGGAATCGTGGAATGGTTTGGGTTGGAAGGGACCTTAAAGATCATTTAATTCCAACCCCCCTGCCAGGGACAGGGACACCTTCCACTAGCCCAGGTTGCTCCAAGCCCTGTCCAGTCTGGCCTTGGACACTTCCAGGGATCCAGGGGCAGCCACAACTTCTCTGGGAAATCCATTCCAACACCTCCCCACCCTCACAGGGAGGAGTTTCTTCCCTCATCTCTCCCAACACTCAGCTTGGCTGCCTTGTTTAGTTTTCTGAACATCAGACAAAAATAACATTTTTAGACACATTTTTTTTTTAGACAAGGGGTGAACAGGAACCTGGGGAGGGACATAAATAAACCCCAACCACACATGCACCCCTCCCTGAACTCCTTCTGTCTGAGATCTCCTCTGTGGCTTTCCATTGTTCTCCTACAAGATCCTTCTGAATTCCAGGTGAGAGACTCAGAGCAGAGCCACAGGTCCCGGAGCTCCCCAGGGCCTGGCCAGGACAGGGCTCCCCACAGGCACCGGGATCGTTCCCGGAGCTCCTCCCGCTCCCCCCAGAGACATCCCAGCAAGAGGAACTCGGAGCAATCCGGCTCCAGGGGCTCAGGATCTCCTTCCAAACACAGCAAACAGTGAGTGGGGGTCACCTGGGGCAGGGAACCACGGGCTGCTTGGGGGGGAAATTCCCTGGAATCAACATCCCTCCTGTTCCATCTCCTGCCACTTTTGTGTCCTGATATTATTCTCAGGGATGGATGGATGGAAAGGTGGAAGGTGGGAGCTGTCCAGGGGCACCCAGGGAGCTGCTGGATGGGACAATCCCACTCTTCATTTGGGACACCCTCTCTAATCACACCCTTTGGGTATTATAATTTATAATTATAATATACAATATAATATAATATAATAGTATATTATTATATATGTGATAAATATTATTACATATAATATAAAAATATAATATAATATAATAATATATAATAGTATATTATATACAATAGTATATTATATATAATATACTACAATAATATACTACAATATATATAATGATATAATAATATATATGATATATTATGATATAATAATATAATAGTATAGAATATAATAGTATATTATATATATATACTATAATAATATAAGAATATAATATAATAATATATAATATGTGATCTATTATAATAATATAATATAATAGTATAGAATATAATAGTATATTATATATAATGTACTATAATAATATAATACTATAATATAATAATATATTATATATGATATATTATAATAATATAATAATATAATTATATCATATTATATTATGATATATAATTATAAATCATAATTTAGAATTAGAATTCATCATTTATAAATTAGAATAGATACAGAAAAGATGTAGAATTATCTTTTTTAAGCGCATATAAAATCAGGTAGCAGGTATTCATTGTTTGCTGATGAAATAATTAGAACTGAGTAAAAAAGTATAAATTTATAAAAAGTATATTAAGATTCATTAGAATTTGTTTGCAGGGTGGACAGGTAACAGCCCTGCAGCTGTGGGGGATGTCTTGGCTTCAGAACGTGCTGAGAAAGCCAGGGAATGTTCAGGAATGTGCTGATCTGTGCTAACAGGGGCGTTTTTTGGGTTGCAGGCACAGCAGTCGGGAGGAGAAGGGCAGAGCCAGGAGCCCTTCCCCCAAAAAGAGCTACAGGCGCCAGCACCCCCCGGGTTACACCAGGTGAGGGAGGCTGAGAACCAGCTGGGTGCAGCCTGGGAACCAAGTTTGAACCACAGCAGAGCAGGTCAGGTGTCCACAAAGTCAGACACAGAGTCTTCGAGGGCTCAGGGGGTGCTCCTGGGCTTGGCTGTTAGTTGACACCTTGGACACCTTCCCAAACCCATCCATGTGGTCGCCGGTTCCTCCTGCCAGGCAGGAAAGAATGTGAGGTGTCTTTGTCCCCTGGGCTGTTCATTAGGAGGTTCTGTTTCGCTGCCATCAGGCAAAAAGGACCTCGACAGCATCATCTTACAGGTCAATTATCATAGAATCATAGAATAGGTTGGGTTGGAAAAGACCTCCAAGATCATCAAGTCCAACCCCTGATCCAACTCCAATGACTATATCATGGCACTAAGGGCCACGTCCAATCTCTTTTTAAAAACCTCCAGGGATGGTGAATCCACCACTTCTCTGGGTAGCCCGTTCCAATGCCTGATAATTAAACACAGGGGGAGAAAAGAGGCTCTTGCTGGGCTGTGGTGAAGCTGAATATTTACATATATGAAGCAGAATATTTAAAAGCTTTGTTGGTTGGCCACCAAAGAGAAAACCATGCTAAATACCCCTAATTTGGGGCGTTATAAGTCATCTTTGGTGGTTGGACTCGATGACCTTAAAGGTCTTTTCCAACCTTAACAATCCCATGGTGTTAAGGAATGGGAAATGAGGGGAATGGGGCCCAGGGTGCTGTTGTTTGACTGTAGTGGTGGTTTCTACCCAAACAGAAAACTCTCTCCAGAGGAACTGGAGCGTAAACGGCAGGAAATGATGGAAAATGCCAAGTGGAGGGAAGAGGAGAGAGCAAACAACCTCAGGAAACACAGGAAGGAGGAGGAGCTGGAGCGAGAGCTGGAGAAACTCGACGCCAGGGATGGAAAGTTCTTCCAGTGAGTCTTTTCCCTCCTTCTCATTCGGGGGGAAATCCAGGCCACAGCTTCTGAGTGAGGGCCTCAGGCTTTGGGATGTTCCAGATCATGGTGTAGGATCCATCTCCACTGTGTTTTGTGGTAGAACAGGTGACATCTGCTGTTCCCAAATTCTCCTCTCAGCCCAAAAGGTGCTGATTTCTGTGATGGCCTTGACAGTCAGACTCAGGAAACAGTAACCAGCTGTGTCTTGCCAACCTGTAGAAATAAAAAAACACCAACCTCCAGGTGGGGTTTTACATGCAGATATTTAGAAATTCTCTGGTTTTAAGTGCTTGAAACACTCTTAGGCCTGCAAGTGCCTAAACACACTTAGTGGTAACTTAGCCCTTGTAGCCATGGCAGGCAAAAGGATTTGGAGTGACACCTTCCAGAGGGTGCAGGAAAGATCCCATGGCAGTTTTATTCTCCAGGCTCTGTAGATTAATCAGAGGAGAGCATGTTCTTAAGTGCAGACCACAGAACCATGAGATGGTTTGGGTTGGGAGGGACCTTAAAGCCCATCCAGTGTCACCCCCTGCCATGGGCAGGGACACCTTCCACCAGCCCAGGTTGCTCCAAGCCCATCCAACCTGACCTTGGACACTTCCAGGGCTGGGGCAGCCACAGCTTCTCTGGGAATTCCATTCCAGCCCCTCACCACCCTCAGAGGGAGGAATTTTTCCCCAGTATCCAATCTCTGATCTAAACCTCCTCTCTTTCAGTTTAAAAAGTCTCATTTCTTCCTCTGTCCCAATTCCCTGCAGCCGTTTGAAGCTGGAGAGTGCCTCCACCTCCACCCTGGAGGACCGTGTGAAGAGGAACATCCACTCCCTGCAGAGAACTCCTGCTGCCTTGGAAAAGAACTTTATGCAGAGATGAGGCTTGTTCTCCCTCTGCTCCCGTGCAGCAGTTAAATGGACTCTTGTTCCCAGAGGTGAGAGCCTTCCAGCACAGCCTCACTGCTCTCTCCAGGAACAATTCCCATCTCCCAGAGGTGCTGGAATCTCTGTGCTGAGCCCAGGGCGTGCTCAGGACTGGGAATACTTTTGTAATGGGTGGGACCTTGGCCTGGGGAACTCGTGAGCCTTTGTGGTCCATTTTTAACATCTTGCCAGAGCTTTTCCTTCCTTCTCCCCGCCTTGACTGGTGTCACTTTTGTATATTATTATTACCAAATTGTGCCAGGTGGTCACTGCTTCCTACTACCAAGCTCTTTATAGGCCAGAGCTAAACAGATATTTTTATTAATCCTTAAAAATCAGAGCAGAACCAATTGACATGTGAGTTAATTTCATGGAATTTGATAAAACCACACGAGCCCTGTCCATCCTGTCACCATTTCAGGTGTGCAGGGTGTGATATTAGGCCAGTCTCAGAGTGTCTGTGGCCATTATTTGGTTGCTCACAGATTTCACTGGTATTTGACCCAAAAGAAGCTGCTTCCAGGGGAAGGGAAATGGGCAGAGCATAGCTGGGTACAGCAGACATTTCTCTGGGATTTTCTACTGTAAGTAATGTGTATATGTACAGCGGTGTAGATTTATTTTGTCTTTTTAATTAAGAAACTTTCACTGTCATTTGTTAAAGCTTCTTTGTGGCTCTCGGGTGGGGTGGGGGGGTGAATTTGCTAGGGGGAAGGTCTGGGAGGCTGTGGGAGCCCCTTCTCGGGTGTATCCATCCCTCAGGACCCTCCCGGTGCCGGAGGGGTCGCGGGTGGGCCCCACGCGGGGTCTGTCCCGGGGCCGCGCTCTGGCCCTTTAAACGGCGGCGCGTGACGTGGGAAACAGCCCATTCATAATTCCAGCCGCCTCGCCGCTGATTGGCCCGCTGGCAGCGGGGGCGCGGCCTGGGCGGGCTCCTCACGCCGGCTGGGCGAGACCATCTCCGCGAAGAGGAGGGGGGAAGGATGCTTCCCCCCCCCCCCCCCAGCCTCGTCCTTTTCCCTCCGTTGTCGCTCTCCGTTATCCCGCGTCTCAGCCCAACGCGTGCCGCGGTTCTCCGCGTCCCACCCGCGGGCCGATCCGCAGCCACCCCGCCGCCATTACCCGCGGCTTTCCCCCCCCCCCCTCCCGCCGCCCGCGGGGGCGGCCATGGCACCTCCCGCCGCCCGCCCCCTCCGCGCGCCGCCATCTTGGCGCCTCCTCAGCGCGGGGCCGGAGCGGGCCCTGCCGCCGCGGCGGAGCGAACCAACCGCGGGGGCGGGCGGGGGGGGGGGGG